TGAGGATGAAGAGCTCTTTCAGCGTGACTTGAGTAGAAATATTCAGCAGCTCGTCAGGTTGATGACCGTGAAGGTGAAGCTAAATATCAAAGGTGTCGTTGATCACGTCTCACCTGTGATGCATTCTGGGAGAAGATGGCGTCGAAGGTGAAGGTCTTTGGACCCGAGGCGGAGGACCGTCTCTGGGCGCCGGCAATTTGTCCGCCGGTCGGCATCTCGCTGAGAGTCAGCAGCTTCTTCCTGACGTCCACTTTGAGGAGGGACACGGACTCTGAGGACTCGCTGCTGTGGACCGAGCAGATCCGGACCATCACTCGGACCTGCAGACAGACAGGAAGTCCACATCAGAGAGCAAGGAGGCCCACCAAGTCCGCATCAGACAGGAAGGAGGCCTACCAAGTCTGCATCAGACAGGAAGGAGGCCTACCAAGTCCGCATCAGAGAGGAAGGAGGCCTACCAAGTCCACATCAGAGAGCAAGGAGGCCCACCAAGTCCGCATCAGAGAGGAAGGAGGCCTACTAAGTCGTCCTCATCATCTTATGAGTCCTCAACTCTCTGATTCTGGTTCTGGTTCTGGTCTCACTTGGAATCGAACCCTCGGCTCTCCTGAGGCGTCCAATCAGAGCACGAGCTGCTTCATCAGAGTCCACCGAGAAAACGGGTTTAATTTATCCGATGATTCAGTTCAGAGGAGGAAGCTCATCAGAGTTCACAAGTTCATCATGTAGTCCACATGAGTCCACATGAGTCCACATGAATCCTGATGAGTCCACATGAGTTCACATGAGTCCTTCATGAAAATCTGTTCTGTAGACCATCAGAAACTAAAGGTTCACATGAGGACCAGGTCTTAAGGAAGACTAGGTTCACATGAGGACCAGGTCTTTAGGAGGACTAGGACTACATGCGGACTAGGTCTTTAGGAGGACTAGGTTCACATGAGAACCAGGTCTTTAGGAGGACTAGGCCTACATGAGGACCAGATCTTTAGGAGGACTAGGTTCACATGAGAACCAGGTCTTTAGGAGGACTAGGCCTACATGAGGACCGGGTCTTAAGGAGGACCAGGTCTACAGGCCTTCACCCCCCCCCCCCCACAACACAACAACCTGAGAACCAGCTGATCTGCATCTCTGCAGTGCATTCTGGGTAACATCGTGACGTCCTACCTTCCCCATCCCCGGTGCATCCTTGACCTTTGACCCGGCCCGGAGGAGACATGGTGGGACGGGGGGCGGTGAGACCTGCAGGGCTCCACTGAACCCCCCCCCATAGAGAGAGGGGGCGGGGCCTAACAGGGACTTCATCCTGCGGGACAAACTGAGCTTCTGAGCTGCCCTGAAGACAGAAACACAAATATATAAATATATTAGTATTATATATTATATATTATATGTTTGTTATATTATTGTTTATTATAGAATAAAATAACTGATTCATAATCTTCTTCCTCTTCCTCTTCCAGCTGCTGAAGGTAAAATGATATGAAACCAAAACCAGCTGCATTCTCTCTAGTGTCCACCAGGGGGGCGACTCCTCTGGTTGTATAGAAGTCTATGAGAAATAGAAGAAGTCTAGAAGTATAGAAGTCTCTCTTGATTTATTACCTCAGTAAACATTGTAAACATGAGTTTATGGTCTCAATCTCTAGTTTCAAGTCTTCTTCAATACAGCATGATGTTCATTTAGTACATTATGGTCCATTTAGAGCGGGGCAACACGGTGATTGACAGGTCTCTACCGGAGACGTGTCCCCCCCCTCATCCAGTATCAGAGGACCTGGTTGAACACAGTTAATAATGTGATAAATGGAGCTGGAAGAGACCTCGGAGACCAATGAAGAGGGAACGGACTTCCTTTACAAGTGCATGAAGACACCGTTCAGGTTTAAGGTGACAGGATGTGTGTTCAGGGACCGTAAACCTGCTCCAGTCTGCACTAAACCAGGATTGATGTCTCAAATGTCACTGTGTCTTTATATGTAGAGAGACATGAGGAGGACTCAGACATACTCACAGTTCCTTCCAGTCCATTATCTCACAGTTCTTCTCCTGGAATCAGACGTGTTCTCCTTCTCATTCGCCATCATGAAGAACCAGATTTAATCCGACAGGAAGGGGGAACCAACAGGAACCAACAGGAACCATGAAAGGTGTGTCCGGTGGTGAATCATGGCAGCAAGAGAATCATCCGGAAAAGACTCAGACGATACAAGTGTCCAGTAAATATAAATATGAAGACTTTTCAAAGAGGTTTGGATCAGATGTTCAACTCCAGGAATCTGATCCACAATCCAATGGAAGCTCAGATTCTGATGTGTGTTTGGTTCAATCACGTCTTCTACTTTTGCAGGAAACCCTCTGTTGATCCAGATGTGTCCCGATGAAGGATAAGTCCTGACAAAGTCCTCATCCAACGTTAAGAGTATCTCTAAATATCTGTAAACTGACCTCCAATCATCAGTAACTTTGGTCCATCACCAAAGTCCTCAGGGAGTCAAATGTGTTCTTGAAATATTCAAACTGTCCGTCTTCTATTCTCTTGTATAGAACCAAGTTCTCTTCAGATCAAATCTGACTGACGGTACAAATTAATCTACTAAACGTTCACATATCAGTAAATAGTTTCACTTATTTAAGGTGGTTTAAGGAAAGTTTGTCACTTTGTCCGTCATCAGAAAAACGTCCAAATGTATCCTTCAAACATCCGTTCATCATCATCATCATCATCATCGTCATCGTCTCAGACATTCAGAAGAGTCCAACAGGTTTCAGTTTGTCCAGTAAACTTCTCGTGGTTCATCTCTGAGCTGACGTCTGCTGGACTGGTCGGTGAGGAGGTCCTGCAGAGGCATGAGGAGGTTCTGGTCGTCCATCGTCCGACTGCGTCTTTCAGCCAAACGCTGCACCAAACCTCCGCCTGCAAACCTCACATCTAATTCCCTATTCACTCCTCCTTCTCACCTCCATCCTTCACTTTCCTCCTCTCTTCTTTGTTTCCTCTGAACTTCTTCTTCTTCTCTCCCACCATCCTGCTTTTCTCCTCTTCACCTTTACTTTTAGATTTCTCCCTCCTTCTCTTCACCTCAGCTTCATTTCCTCTGAATCGACCTCCTTTTGTCCGTTTCCTTTAATTCACCTCTTTACCTCTCCTCCTCCTCCTCCTTCTCCTCCTTCTTCCTCCTCCTCTCTACTCTCCTGTAGCTCCTCAGTCTGTTCCTGCAGTATCGCAATGGTTTTCCTCTCCACCCCTCCCTTCCTCTTCCCTCCTCCTCCTCTCACTCAGAGAGGGGGGGGGGG